GGGAGAAGGCGGGGAGGGCGCGGCGGGAAAGAAGCCGGGATTCCCCGCCCTTCCCGCAGGTGCAGAGCGCCCATCGGAGGGCAGGGGGTGCCCGGAGGACGGGCATCGGGCTCCCCATCCTGGCGCCATCTCTCCATCCTCCCGAGCTCGGCGTCCCCGTGTCTGAGCGCAGCGCTATTATCCCACGACCTGCGCCCCTGAACCCCACACGTGCAGGCCTGGCGTTCTTGCGCACGCGGGATCCCGCTAAATTACCTGCTTCACTGGGTCTTGACTTTAATATATTAAGTCCTATTATGAGGAGCGTGAGGCAATCTGCAGATTTTTTAAACCCCAGCTCGGTTTCTATTACTTAGTTTGCTTCTTAACAGTAAAATTATTGCACCTACCTGCTAAGGTTGTTGCAAGAATTATGTGCGAAGATTGGTGCCCATAGGTAGGAAAAACTGTTATTTTTCAGTGGCAAGAGACACTGACTTACCATTTACAGTATTCATGCTATAAAATTAACGTGTGTGTGCGTGTGTGTGCGCGCGCGTGTGTGTACCGTCGAATAGGATCTGACTGGCACATGAGGAGACTGCCCCTCCGTCTCCAGCAGAGCATCTGGTAGATTTGAGCCTCGAGCCTTCAGGATTGCAGCGCAGTTTCTTGCCACTAGGCCACCAGAGCTCCCTTAAAGTTAACATTTAAAAAAAAAAATATTATTTTTTGTGTGTGTACCGCCAAATCGCCTGGAAGCAGGAGCAGCATCCACTTCCGAAATGGCTTGCCTCCGGAAACTCTATGTACGAACAGTGCTCAGGCTGTTCGTTCATAGGGTCGCTATGAGTCCTCTAAGACTCGACGGCATCAAACAACAACAACAACCGTCAAATTGGATCTGACTGGTACAGGAGGAGATTGCCCCTCCTTCTCCAGCAGAACATTTGGTGGGTTGGAACCGCATACCTCTGGGATTGCAGTGCAGCTTCTTGCCACTCGGCCACCTAAAGTTAACTTTTAAATAAATAAATAAATAGATAGATAGATAGATAGATAGATAGATAGATAGATAGATAGATACTGAATGAATGAATGAATGTATTTCAATTTCATCTTAAAATAATCCATCTGCAGGGAGCTCTGGTGGCCTAGTGGCAAGAAGCTGCACTGCAATCCCAGAAATATGAGGTTCGAATCTACCAGATGCTGTGCTGGAGAAGAAGGGGCATTCTCCTCCTGTACCAGTCAGATCCGATTTGACGGTACACACACATACACACATAAAAAAAAATAAAATAATCCATCTGCATGAAGACCAGGGAACTCTGGTGGCTTCGTGGTAAAGAATTGCTCTGCCAACTTAAAAGTATCGCGGGAGTATCGCGGGAGACAGAAGCGCAAGCTCCTCTGAAAACCCTTCCCGGAGGTCAGCTATGGGTCAGTTCCAACTCGAGGGTATATAACCTCAACATGAAAACTAATAAATAGAAGAGGTGAAGTTGTCGAGACGCTGGGATGAAGAGGGGTTAGACTAAGAGTTCCACGTGCCTCCAGGGTCAATCCACGTGGGGAACCCGAGTGGGGTTTCCCCGGCACCTGCTTGGCGCGCAGCTGCGGTTCCAGACCCTTCCTGATGGGGCGCTGTTCAGTAGCCGGAGACAAGGCCCAGGCAGCGCGGAATCCCCTGCTCTCCCTGCACACGCCCAAAGGCAAACTGGCCTATCTAAAAATTAAAGCCACACGCCCCGTAACCCAGAGGTGCCACCTGGAGGAATTTACCCAAGATAGGCTGGCGTGGTGCAGGAGGAGGTACAGCAGCGCTCTTTATAATGAGAACTGGACACAACCCAATGTCCCTCCATCACGTCAGTGGCAGAGATGCCTCCCATTGCCCTTCTATAGTTGTTGTTAGGTGCCATCATCGAGTGGAGTATGACTCATCTGAAACGTGTCCTATCCTGTGCCATCCTCATCATCTCTGAGACACCAGGGCCCATTGCTGAAGTCAAGGGGTCACTTCCTCTCTTTGAGTGTCTTCCTGTCCTTCACTGACCCTCCATCTTTTCAAGCATGATGTCCCTTTCCAAGGAATAGCCTTGCTTAGCTACATGTCCAAAGTATGAATGACCAAGCTTCTTCATCCTTGCCTCCACGGAGCGCTCTGCTCTCGCTACAACCTTTCCAGGACGGACCTGTTCATCCTTTTGCCAGTCTGTAAGATGTTCAGTACTCTTCTCCAGCGCCACAACTCAAGGGCATCAATTCTTTGTCTGTCATCCTTATTCATCATCCACCTTCCTGATGAGTAGCAGGTGGTTGAGAAGACCATGACCTGAATCAGGCACACCTTAGTCTTCAAACTGACATCATTGCTTTTCAGTATTTTGGAGAGGTCCCCGACAGACCACTTGTTCAGTGCAATACATCATCTGATTTCCTCACTACAGGGACCAAGGGTGCTGATTATTGATTCAAGCAAGATGAAATCATTGACAGATGCAATCTTTTCTCCTAATGGTATCTGTGCCTTTCCATAGAGGCATGGCTTAATAGTGGCTATGCAACCATTAAAATATTTTCACTTATGAAGGTTTGCATCAATTCAAGGAAAGGAAGAAGACTCAAACTCAGGTCAGCTGACTTATTCACAGGGAGCTCTGGTGGCCTAGTGATAAGGAATTGTGAGCCAACCCAAAGGCACAAAGTTCAAATCCACCAGATGCTCTGTGTGAGAGAAGAATGGGCAATCTTTTCTCATACCATTTACTGCCTTTGAAAACTCTCTGGAGGGTCAGCTATGTGTTGACTCTGACCCAAAGATACATATAGCGTTCACAGACAGCTCTGGAAAGTTCCCAGGAAGATCTTATCTAGGCAAGACAGCTGGTGGCTTTCTAAGATTTCGATAAAATGTAGATAAATCCTCTACCTCACACCATCAAGCAACTAAACAATGAGGTGAGTTGTTTAAGAGGTCCCAGATTCTCCTTGGAAATTTAGAGGAGCCTCCAGCTTCGGGGCACCAGGCCAAGAAGGAAATTAGGTGTAATAGTGGAAGCATGCCGGGCCGGTGACCCCCCCAATTTGCACGTATATTTCAATAAAGAGGGTGGTTTCTTAGGCGTGTAGCCCTCAGGCAGCTGGTGCAATTTCGAAGCCTGCCACCAGGTGGCACGTCACAGTGTGGACCCGACGCCCCCATCCTTCCAGGGCCCTTGCAGCTCAGGGGTCAGGAATGTGCCTGGGGACGTGCTAGGACTGCTGCCAGCATGCCTGGAGCCTTTTACGGGCACAAAGGAGCCTGGTAGCGCCCCCGGGAGAAAATGCAGACCCCCAGGGAAAGGGAGTGTCCATGTGGAAAGTATCCAGAAGAATTGGCCACAAGACCTGAGGCCTTCTGGGCCTGGGCTGGACCCCTAGGCAGGACACTGACTTCTTGGAGCCTCAGTGTCCTCGCGTATCAAATGGAGGAGAAAAATCTGCCGCGCAAAAGAGCCTCACAGGCACGTCAAAACTGAGCAAAGAATAAGGAAAAACCAAAGAAAAACTGATGTATTTGAATCATGGTGTTGGAGAAACATATTGAAGCCTTGTCTGGACCAGGGCTGTCAGAATGCTCCTTAAAAGCCAGGGTCTGGCCCGTTACCAGGAGGGGGCAGTGCCTGGAGAAGGACATCACGATTGGCAAAGCAACAGGGTCAGCGGAAACAGGGAGACCCCTCTGGACTGACAGACAGAGGAGCTCCTGACAGTGGATGGTTGAGGATGGGGTCAGTTTAGCATGTGTTTACTCTGCTGTCAGGATCGACTCAAAGGCACCTAACAACAACAAGGGCTCTGTAAGCATGAGAAAACCAAAACGTGTGTCGCTGGCCAAGGGTTATAAAGTAACCGTAGCTGTGAGGTGTTGAGTTAACTATTATTAGCTGGTACAGTGAACTGTAATTGCTCTTAATTTCCGATTCCCTTTTATTATTTTTACAACATAGGATCTGATACTGCACTCAAGAAAACTTTTTTGTGTGCAGACATAATTTAGCTGAATATCCCAAATGTGAGGGGACCTGTCCCTGACTTCCTCCCCCCGAAACTTTAGGGTATCATTCTTGACTCTCCTAGATGCAGCAATACCATCCACTGCCCCCTCCCCAATTTAACAAGCATGCACCTGGTCTGAGTGTGGCTAAGCCGCCTCATCTAGCCTTCCTCAGGCCAGTGTAGAAACCTTGTCTACACAGCCTGTCTACAGAGGTCAGGGGGAGGCAGTGGACACCTGCGCCAGGTCACATCAGTCCCTTGCTCAGAACCCTCCATGTACTCATCTCATAAAAAGCCAAGCCGAGGTCCTTCCCCCCTTCCACCAGGCTGGCTGACCAGTCTGCTGGTCACCCTGGTCCCCTCCTGCTCTCCTCCCCTACCCCATGTGCCTCTCCACGTGCTCCCACCTCTCTGCTTCTTGTTTTCTACTCAATACATCAAACTCGGGGCCTTGGCACCTCCAAAACTCTCTTCTTCAGCGACCATCATCACTGCATTGTCACTGAAATGATCTTTCTCTCTCATCACTGTGTCCACACCCAGAACTTCATTCCACAAGGTCTGGGCGTCGCTGGTTTTGTTCAGGCGGTGTGGTGGCACAGTGATTAAAGGGCTCCATCGCTAACCCCAAGATGTGGCGTCCATGAAGGCTTTCCGCTTAGAAGCCCCCTGGCAGTTCTACTATGTCTCGTACACTCACCAAGCGTCAGTATCGACCCTACGACAGTGGCTTCAGTGTTTCTGGCGCCAAATGCAGAGCGGTGTTGTGTGCCATAGAGTCAGAACCAACCCGCAGCTGGCCTTCCAGCGGGTTTTCGGAGGCAGTTAATCGGCATAGCACTTAATAATATATGGGGGGGGGGGTCTTGCTTCAATGAACAAATTGCCCATGTGTCTTTTCTTCGGCATGTGGCCTACAAAGTTCTTTATTAAAAATTAAAACAAGTCTGCAACCAGCTCCGGGAGGTCTAGGTGCATCAGTCTGCAGTGGGCACAGACACCAGGGTGTGAGCGGCCGTGGGTGCACAGGGGCCGCCTGTGGAGCCGCTGGTTTCCAGCCCATCTTGTCGGGGCGACGAACGCTCAGAGCGGCTGGAGCTGCCGTCCATACCCGGAGGCAACCATTGTCGCAGGCCACCCGAAGCCCCAGCTGCGCTCCCAGTCCGCCTGGAACCACTGGTGCCTAGTCCACAGGGGCGGCGGCCACAGCAGATGAGGCGCAGGAGCGCGTGGCGCAGGTCGCAGTTGGTAAGAGTGTAGATAATGGGATTCAGAAGCGAATTGGCCATGGCCAGACCCAGGAAAGGGTCAGCCTGCAGGAGCACTGGGCAGGCGCGCGCTGGGCATGCCACGTCTAACAGCAGCAGCAGGAAGAGAGGACCCCAGCATACCACAAAGGCCAGGAGTACTACACTGAGTGTGCGCAGCAGCGCCAGCGTGCGTGGCGTGCGGCGTGTTCGCTGAGAGGAACCTCCTCCTGTCCCCGGCCTGGCTCGCAGGCGCTGTGCATTGGCGCGCACCTGGCAGTAAATGCGCGCGTAGAGCGCACAGATGGCCGCCAGGATGCCGACGAAGGCAAGCACGCAGAAGAGCACGTAGGCCTTGGCGTAGAGCGGCAGCACAGTGGAGCAGGAGTCCAGACGGCCCAGGCAGTTCCACCCCAGCGCCGGCAACAGGCCAATGAGCAGCGATGCGCCCCAGGCGGCGGCTGCCAGTGCCAACGTGCGCCCCCGACGGGCAGCAGGTGCAGGTCCCCGGCGCGCCATGGTTAGGCTTCTCTCCAGTGCGATGGCCAAGAGGCTCAGCAGGGATGCTGTGAGCGCCACGAAGACTCCGCCCTCGCGCGCGAACCAAAGCGCAGGCGACAGGCGCAACGTGAGTGGCCCGGACAACAGGATATTGGCGGCATACGCGGCTCCAGCCAACAGATCGGACAGCGTGAGGCTGCCCAGGAGCAAGAACATGGGCGCGTGAAAGCGAGGGTGGCGCGCGAGTACCAACAGCACGGCCAAGTTCTCGAGCACGATGAGGGCGCACACTGCCAGGCACACAACGGCGTCGGCGCGCAACCCTGCGCCAGGCTGGTAGCGAGCACCTCGGAGTTTGCCAGTGTAGTTATAATGGAGGACGATAACTTCGCTCACTGGCGCTGGCCGCAGCAGCCCGGGATCCATGGGCCGCGCGCCCCAAAGCTGCGGAGAGGCCAGGCGCGGTGTCAGGCCGGCTGGCCGCCGCTTGCCTTCAAACCAGGGCCTGTAGAAGAGGGCACAAGTACAACTTTGTGACTTGGAGAATGGGGGTCTTAACCCCTAACCACCACCCTACTACATGCCCCCTGGGACCAAGGGGAAGCTCGAGATGGAAGGAGGGGTCTCCTGGAGACAGACACTAGGGGATAGGGTGACACGGAAAAGGAGCACTAACAATTCACTCACAATCCGGGATGGGATATACAGAAGCATACGCGATCATTAATGAATGACACGCATATTCAGAGACTGAACGCACATTCGTGCCCAATCAAGGGGGCACGTGAACGCTCTCACACAACAGAGCAACACAGAGGCACACAAGAAATCCAGACACACCAACTGAAGACACACAATCACATAAGCCACTCATTTGCCACCTCCACCCACATCACAGCCCACAACCACACGCTCTTCGGGGCTCTTTCCTGCTGGCACCCTTTCTTCCACTCAAAACCGTGAGAAAACCATTTTACAGACACAGAGCTGGAGAGCTGGAAACAGAAACCACAGCGCACAGATGAGGTCTTCCGCAGACACACATAACATTAAAATATATAAAGAACACATCCGATCTGAGACTGCAACCTTTCTTCCCCTCCAGTCTTCCCTTATCACGTTTGAGGAAACTGAGGCTGGCACAGAGAAGGCACGAAGGCTTACACGCTCCCTTCTCACACATCCACAGGGGGCGCAGTCACTCATGGGAAGGGGACTTAACGCATGAGAAGGGGACAAGACTTACTGACACACAGCAAAGGACGAATTCAGTCGCACACAGGGCGGCACGCGCCCAAACAGGGATGGGTGGGAAGATAAGGCTCCAATCACACAGACTCGGGATGTGGACACCGCGCCGAGGCGCACAGTCTCTGCATCGCTTCCTTTCCCCTACTAGCTTGGCGGACGACTGAGGAACAGAGCCCGCGGATGCGTGGCCCAGAGGGGCCAAAGCCAGTGGACTCTGGAACCGCCTATCCTGGACCCCGCACCCACACGCAGTGTGCTGGTTTCCTGCTCCTTGGGAGCTTCTGGGAAAGGCTCGGGAGACTTCAGCAGAGTTTTCCTGGAAGTGCCAATGGCACCCAGGGAGAACCCCTGCGGGCCAGGCCGAACCCCACGCGCCCCGGGGCGCGGTGTGGTGCACTCACCTTGGGAGTCTTCAAGCCCCTTGCCGCTGCGCCGCCGGGAGCAGAGTGAGCCGAGGCTCCGCGGGGGCGGGGCGGGCGCAGGTGGGGCGGGCCCTCCGGGCCGAGGGCCGGGCAATCGAAAGCAATTGCCCCCTCCCCTTGGGGCCCGGGCACTCAGCCCGGGGCTGCCAGTCTGTGCCACTCGCCGCGGCACCGGAGAGCGCCCCAGCGGCGACTGGCACCAGCGAGCCCAAGGCTGTCCTCCCAGGGCCCCAGCACGATGGGGGACCTAGAGGCGCAGGGGGTGGAGGGTTCACGCCCCTAGCGGGGGCGGTGACAGATTCCCCAGAGGGGTCTCGTGTCCTCGCTCATCCGCACACGGGCCCTTCCCCACTCTCCGCCCACCTCTCTCCAGAGGCTGGGCTGGCCCCAGGTTCGCCCCGTCGCGGGAAAGCCTGGATAGCGTGGCTGACCAGGGATCTTCCACCGGAGCGAGAGTGGCCTGCGTCCCCCTCCTCCCGGGCAGCGGGAGCCCCAACCTGGAGTTGTAGGGGAGGGGCGAGCGCAGGCGGGAGCCTGGGGACTTCCTGCTCCAGATAAGAGCCAGGCGCATCTGACTCCACGACTGGGGCTTTCCCCTCCCCCGGTCTCACCCTGGCGCCCTGGACACTTTGGTTTACTCCTTTATCCTGTCTCTGTGCTGTGTCTGCATGCAGACAGTGGTCTCAGTCTGGCGTGGGTGCTGTGCCCCGTGCGTGCCCTCGGAGCCACTGAATGTCACCATCACTTCTGTGTGTCTCTGTCTCTCGGTCTGTTTCTTTCTGTGTGTCTTTCCGTTCTGCCACTGTCTTTCTCCCTTGCTTTCTCTCTCTCACGCTTCTCCTAGTTGGCCAGGCCCAGCTGGCCCCGAACTGTCCACCCTCAGATTCCAAGAGTTTCCGGCCGGGGCCTGGTTCCTCTGGCCTCAGACTAGAGATGGAGCTGGATCGAGCTGCTGCGACCTTCCGAGGGACAGCGCCCTTTGCCCCTCGAATTCAAGGCCTGCCGGCTGTGGGTGAATGAGGGCGCCCCAGAGCGAAGAACCCCGGTCTGCAGATTCTTCTGAGGGAAGGGCTTGAGGGCCATCGAGGCTGGGCCACGTCCAGCAAGATCCTCTGCAAATGGGTGCCCTCTGCTCTCTTGGGGGAAGGAAGTACTGACCGCTTCTGCCTGCTCTGGCCAATCAAAGGGTTGCGCACAGGGGCAGCACAGCCAAAGAGGCTCAGTGGCGACGCCTCCCTGAAGACATTAATGATACGACGACTTGCACACTATGCGAATGAGCCCAAGCTTCAAACTCCGCCCACTGGGGTGAACTTGGAGATCCCCCAGAGCTGTAGGCCAACACCACCCACTACCGCCCCCCACGCCCCCGCACACAGCAGGCGCTCATAAATGACCCGCTTCTGCAAAAGGGAAGCCGCACCCAGCCATGAGGAGGTGGCCGCTTCACACCTCCCAGGCAGCGTTCTCACCTCCCTTGCTGCAGAGCAGGGGGATCCCATAGCCCCTCAGCCCAACCACCCTTGCTCCTCTTTCTATAAAGAGGGAACCAGTCTACAGCACCCCGTACTGACTTCAGGAGCCCCCTGTACACCTGCTCACTGTCACCCCTATAGTGTGCTTATCAAACACAGGGCGGCTGCCTCCCAAGCCTCAAACCCTCCCATGGCTCAGAGTAAAAGCCAAAATCTACCCACCCTGCATCCTGGCCGGTCTCACTCCTCAAATCTCCTCTACCCTGGCTCTCCCTCCATCTAGGTCACTGGGTCCCCTCACCCCGTCTGCATGACCCCTTTCTCTCAGCCCTCCCCTCCTTCATGTGACAATTGGCACCCTCTGAAGTTGCCTTTTTCGCTGCTCCTTGTCTGGTCTGTTGTGTGACTCTGACCTAAACTCAACTTCAGGAAGGCAGAGACTGTCTGTCCCCAACCAGAGTTGTATAAAGGTTATTATTGTTGTTGGGTGCCTTCGAGCTGACTTCAGCTCATGGCCAACAATAGAACAAAGCTGAGCCCAGTCCTGGGCTGGCCCCACAATCTGTGTGGTGCTTGAACTCTTTGTTGCAGTCCTTGGGTCAAGCCATCTCCTTCTCTGCTGAGGCCCTTCCTATCCTCTGATGACCCTCTGCTTTCCCCAATCATGGCGTTATTTTCCAAAGATGGGCCTCTCCTGATAACAAGCTTGAAGTGCAGGAGGTGAAGTCTCACCCTCCTAGCCTCCCGGGAGCACCTTGACTGCACTTCTTCCAAGACAGATTTGTTTGTTCTTTTGGCCACCCATGGAATAGTCAATATTCCTTGCCAGCTCAATTCGAAGCATTGATTCTTCTTCAGTCTTCTTTTTCATTGTCTGACTTATATTGTATATGAAGCAATTGGAAAAACTGCCATGGCTTGGGTCATGCACACCTTAGTCTTTAAGCTGACAGCTGGAGCCGGGTGATCTGGGTTCAAATCCTTCTTCAGTCACATTGGGCTCTATGATCCCAGGCAATGGCTGGCTGTCTTACTCTGAGCCTCAGTGGCTTTGTTACAGATTGAACCGTGTCCCAGAATATGTGTCCACCTTGCTGGGCCATGATTGTCAGTGCTTCACCAGCTGTGCCGTGATGTAATGACCCCACAATATAATCTGACGTGCTTTAAGTGAATTAGCCAGGATCCAACCCAGTATAAGAGGCGTTCCCCAGGGATGTGGCCTGCATCACCTTTTATCTTGTTGCTGTTTTGTTGTTATGTGCCATCGAGTCGGCTGTGAGTCATAGCGATCCCATGTACAACAGCCCAAACTCTGTTCTGTCCTGTGCCAATCACACTGTCTCCGATACACCTATCCTGATTACCCCAGTCACTGAATCAATCCACCTCATAAAGGGGCTTCCCCTCCTGCACTGTCCCTCCACCCTCCCAAGCATGATGTCCCTCTCCAAGGACCAGTCCCTCCTTACAACATGTCCAAAGTATGCCAGATGAAGCCTCAGGATCTTAGAAGAGATAAAAGGAGAGAGAAGCAAGCAGAGAAGATTGGATCCTAGAACCAGTGAGAAAGAAGAGCCTGGAGGGAAGTGGATTCTTTGGATACAGGGTCCTTGTGCTGAGAACCTTCTAGATCCAAAGGAAGACTGAAGTCAAAACACCTTAGAGCACTGAGAAATGCTGAGTTTACAAGTGTTGAAAGGAGACAAGATCTTTTCTCCAGAGCCGACACAGAGGGAAAGCCTCCCCTAGAGCTGGGGCCTTGGATTTGGACTTCGAGGCTCCTAAATGAGGAAAGAATCCATTTCTGTGTATGAAAGCCATCCACTTGTGCTGTGTCTGCAATAGCAGCTTAACCAGGACAAGCCTTATCCGTAAAATGGAATGAAAACCAGCCCCTTACCCAGGCTGTTGCTGGGAATGAAAGAGCAATTGGAACAAAGCCTGGCATACAGTAAGAGCTCAATAAATGGTGGTGAGAGCCACGAATAGTTACCACAGTGTCCTAGTACCTGGTAGGAGCTAGGAGGGGACTAGACAACCTCAGCCACCCAACCCCTAGCCAAGCCTGGACCCCGCCCAGGTCAAAGGCGCCCCTGGCCTCACTCCTGCCACTACCTGCCCACCAGATGCATGCCTAGGCCAGCACACCTGGCTAGACAGGTTCTACTGCCAAGAGCCCTCGCCTACAGGGGCTGTCCCGCCCAGTCTGCACCCACTCTTATGGAGCCAGGTCCACACCCCTGAAAGAGTAAACTGCTTCCCACGGCCCCCTCGG